ACAGCAAGAGGATCAAAGGTTTTACTGCAGTTTCTCAGTCCGTCTGCTGTTGCAGTCTCAGCCCGTCTCACATGGACTGACCAAGTACCCAGCATAAGCCTCTTTACTAAACTTTTTTATGGCACAAAGATTTTGGTTTAATTTCTGACTCGTAAAAGAGGTTCCAGTCTCCATATCAGGACCCACTCGCCTACTTGAAAGCCGCCATGGCGAAGGGCTCGGCCCCATCTTCATGCCCAGGGACATACAAGAGGGACCCAGCTTGCCTCTTCCCCTCCCCTGATAGAAAACCTGAGGCTGGAGGATAACTGGCACAGGATCTGCCTCACTCCTGTCTCTTTTCCCGGTTGCCTCCATCAGGTTCCACACAAGCAACGTGGGGAGCAGCTTTGAGGTTTTCCAAAGAGATACCAACATCACAGGCAACACACAAAAATGAAGCAGTGTCCTGTTACTATAACACATGTTTAGGAGGAAAGAGATACACTACCCATAATCCAGAGTACCCTTTAGCAACCTGACAGCAGCCTTTTTCCTTGCCAACATAGGTGCTTTACTACTTAGCATAAGACAGGTCTTGCTGCAGCTTGGTCTAGTTCACATCACACCTCTAAGCTAACCCTGCTGGCACGGAGCATGCAGCCATTAGCTCTTCTACCTTACAACACCACAGACTACTTATTTACAAGCCACCACAAGAAACACTTTTCTGAGCCTAGCAGACAAGCTTTGCAGCAGAGAGCAGTGCAAGGTGCACTGTCTTGCAAAAGAAGCGCCACCAGCTTTGCAAGGGATGTTCGGGGGAAGTTATTGTGTAATATTACCAAGACACCTGCCTATTCGCAGGCTCCTGCATCTGCGTAGGGAAGGCAGCAGGGCACAGATGCCCAGCTTGTATGTTCTGCTTTGCTAGCTTTGCATGTTGAGTTATGCGGCAGGGGGCAGCAAAACCCTCCTCTTTGCAACACAAGGCCCTGGGACAGATTCACAGGAGCGCTGGAAGAGGACCCAGCCTACCATGCTTCGACAGCCCCTCCAAGGTGGTCGCAGGGGTCCAGGCATCAGCGGCAGCTGGTGCTGCTCCTTTGGGAAAGGAGAGCGGTCTCCCAAGCAGCGTGCTGCAGCCACCCTGCCAGAGCCCTGCTCCACCACCCCGGGCCTTCTCGCCGCTCAGGTAGGGTTTCCCTGCAACGCATGGCTGGACGACCACGGCAGTCCCAGGGCTTTCAGCTCTGGTCCAAACCGCAGACAGCATCTCCCAAGAAGAAAGGCTGAGCCAACTGCCACGCAGCACCTTTCTGCAGGCAGATGATAAACACAGAGAAGTTTCTGTCCAACACGCACAGGTCCCACCACCCACTGACAGGCTTGTCCCACTGGTGAGGCCTGCCTTCAGGGCTCCTTCCAACCCCAGCATGGACTCGGGTCAAGGCAGAGACAAGCACGTCACAGTGGGCTGGAAGTAAAGGGTTTTCCAGCAAAGACCTCAGATTGGCAGAGGCTTTTTAGTTGTGCTTCTCCCCCCTGCACAAAAGCATGCATACAAGCCAGGCGCCACCCTCTTCCTCCTCCCTCATCCCCACAGCCACCACCGATGGCATACGCGCAGCACCCCAGCGCTAGCCACTGCCGATCCAGCACCACATGAAGATGCTGGAGGAGCTCACAGAGGTGCAGAGCAAAGAGCAAGCCTGGCCAAAGCAGAACACACATTCCCCTTCGGCGAGCTGAGCGCTGCCAAGTGTGCTATGCAGGGCCCAGCAGCACCAGGGAAAGCAAGCTAGGTACAATACAGGTTCCAGCATCTGCCTGCGTAACGGGTCTTCTCCTGCTCCTGGCTACAGTCGCTGCAATTCTGAAGTGTCCCAAAGGTAAGGATCCAGCCAGAGCGCTGCACTGCAGGGACTGCACCCTGCGCGCACGCACCCCAGATCTGCACCGGAGCAAGCCAAGAAGGAAACAGGATCCGTGATGTCCGACTCAGACTAGTCTATCGGGTCATTAACCTCTGTCCACACTGTTCCAAAAACACACCATCCACTCCTCCTCAGGCTGTGAATTCAGAAAGAGCCCACATACTTAATGTTTAACCTTGAAGACCGACTCTTTGTCCATAAAGGGGCATTTTCCTCATTACAGCAGAACTCTGGATACTGCATTAGATTCAGATTAGCCATTGTGTACCTGGAGCCACAGAGCGTCTTTGGTCACTACTGCTTAAATTAGGTGGTAAATAATGACAAGCTGTCCTCCCAGCCCTCTGGTAAATGGTCCCTAGTATTGGAATCAGCTGATATTGGATTTTCCCTGATTCACAATAGGTCCAGACCAGAATATTTCATCAAGTCTAGAGATGCATGGCATTAAAAAAATATCCTTACGAGACACTGAGGTAGACAGCGCCGAAGCAGGACAGAAAAATCCCACAACTTCCTCCTGCCTAGTTGTCATTGATAAAAATTTAAATGTTCTGTGTGTTTTAAGAAAGCAAATGGTTTGTTTTTACAGTGATTTATATATTAAAATAAATAAAAAAATCCTAATAAGAAAATCTCTCCATTAGAAAAGTGTGAGGATAGCTTTTGTTTCCTGCAGTGTAGTGTAGAGCTGCTAGACAGTCACTAGCTGTAAAGCCCAAGAAGTGTCAGCTAAGCCTCTTGAAACAGAAACTGCTTGTCTGGCATTTACACCATACATTTTGCATCTGGATTTGCACAGTTTGCAGCTTCTGCCTCTGTCACAATGGACTCGGGTGCAAGAAGCACAAGGGGCTGCTGTTCCTTCTCTGTGGCGCACCGAAGTCCGTACCACTCTCTAGGTGCTGCCCTCACAAGCTTAGCTACGGTCTGGCCTTGGCAGCCAGGGTCAAAGCAAAAGCACCCCCATTTGCTCCATCTCCTGCTCTATTTTCAACACTCGCTTTATCAGTTGTGGAAAGTGCGAAGCAGCAGCACCCAGGCAGGCTCACAAAGCAGCATCCCTACGTGCCTGGCACCCCTCCCAGCCGAGCCAGGAAAACCCCCTCGCTCGCAGCACACGGCACAGAGCGGTGCTACACTCGGCTGCAGCTCCCAGACCTTCCAGAACGAGCGGCCGGACACGGCCTTCTCTCTCCTCCTCGCCCACTGCTCTCCTGCACTAGCACAACCTGCCGCAGCCAGGGCATTTGCTTCTTGAGCTCAGCGATGCATTTGTGCCCCTCGGCTTCAGACCTTTTCCCTGCCAGCACACGAGACGCGTGCAGTCTAATACCTTACACTAGCAGCTCTGCCCATTATGCAAAGAGCAGCAAAACACAGCACGGTCTGAAAGACAACAGTCAGCATCCTGAGAGCTGAAGGCACCAGCTAACAACACAGCAGCCCTGACCGGCTTGCAGGGCACAGAGCAGGTATCTCAGAAAACACCAAAGGTCTGCTTGCTGGCCCAGGCCAGATGCCCACGCAGGTGGCAGGCAGAGGCTGGCTCACCACAGCCGGGCTCAACGGCGGCTTCACTTGCGGAGCACTGAGCACTCACCCACTCCTCTGGGGCGGGTTAGTGTCTTTTCCTGTTCGAGTTTTTGCTCTTCCACCTGTCGTGGGTTTTCTCCAACGTCGCTGGGAAAGTGCGCGTGGAAGGTAAACTGAAGTGGAAGCCAGGAAGCAGCAGAGCAGAGACCTGGGGGGCAGCGCTTTGACGTCTGTCAGCTGCCACCAACCAAGTCAAGTCCAAACTACTTTATCTCAGGGCTTTTAGCTGGAGCCAGCTGACTGTGTTATATAAATCACAAAACTGTATTTTAAAGCCTTGTCAAGTACAAACTTAACATGTGCTTCATAGTTCCTCAGAGAGTAATCAGCTAAAATTAGTTCATTCTGAAATCCTTGGACCACTTTAAGACCAAACAAACCAACCCCCAATTCTCCCGCACAAAGGATCATAACAATAATTTATATGAACTTAACATTTAAACCTTAAAAAAAAAAAAAAGAGGAAAAGAAAGAGGAAAAGAATGAAACAAAACATTTTAAATATATTACAGCAAACAATATATATACATATATACTTAATGCTGCAAGGACAGAAAGCTTGATCTCTCAGGTCAGGGGGCTCCTGCTTTGTTTGGTCTTGAAAGGATCCACAAAACTCAGACTTGTAGTCCTTTGGCTCCCAGCATATCTTCCTCATCTGCTAATGAGAGAAGAAGCTGCTCCCAAGTGTCCTTAGTATAAAAATAATCTGTTTAGGGTTCAGTCACTCCAGGGAACTGGGAAAAAGAGGAGTACACACTTACAAGAACAGGAAAGCTTCTATGAGAACATACAAAACTTATGTACAAAAAGAAGTGTATATCTTAATACATATGCACCCCACATGTATATACGGCATACGCACACATACACAAACACACACACACGCACGCACATGGGATTTCACCCATTTGAAAAGTATGAAAGCAGCAGCTATTGGTCAATCTGAGGATATGGCGCGTCCAACTGATGGGTGTTAAAATCCTTCGGCCGTAGTGAAAGATGCCAGAGACCTTGGAATTCTGCGGAGAACGTCTGTCCTGAAGAAGTTTCCTCCTGCACTGTAACCACGCAATTCGGAGACCGGCAACTCTCATCTCTTTTGCTGGCAAATGCAAATCCCCCTTCTTTTAACCCGACTGACAAGGTCACTTCCTGTTTTGAAACTATGGTTACAGAAGGAACAGCAGCCATGGAAACCTTTTCCATTTATGTTCACAGATAAGTCTGACAACCAGTCAACTTGGCACAAAAAAAAAAAAAAAAAAAAAA